CTAAAAAATTGCCGTAGGTCTCTAGCTGTTCAGCAGACAGAGAGAAAGAGAAAGAGAGAAGGGAGGGAGAGCTGCTGTGCTATTTTTCCTTTCATTGTTATCAAAATTTCAGAGATCAATCGGAGTGTATAAAATTTACGTGCAGAAAGGTGACAAATCAGTGGAAATTCCGTGCTCTCACGAATGGAAGACTCTAGAGCAGGTCTTATTCTTTCCGCATTCTTCTTTCTTTTTGCTTTTTCTCCTTTTTCTCTAAGGTACCTGTTTAGGTCGGTCTGGCTTCGGTTCGTGATGGTATCTGCGAGACAGAGGATATCGACATTTTAATTCGATGTCCACGTTTGAGGTAATTACCTGTTCTTTTACGATTTCTTCTGTTGACTGCTAAAGTTTCAGTGTGGTAATTGCCTGTTTTTTTTTGCGATTTCTTCTGTTGACTGCTAAAGTTTCAGTGTATCTTCTGTGAAGTGCGATAATGGGAAATTTATCTCCGAAAAGCAGCTGCCTGGTGTTATAGTTCATGAAACTAGCGGCGTAAGTATGTAGACTTATTGTGTGGTCTTTCGTGAAGTGCATCACACTTCTCTAAACTATTTAAGGTTTTTGCAATGTTGCATGAGCTACAAGGAATCGCGGACCTGGAGATACAGAAGTCTTGTCGTCGAATCCTTGCTCTCATTCCTGTCGATCCTTTGGTATTATCTGCTTTTGCAGTTGAGGTGAATGATCGCGACTTGTTTCCGCAGTTTTGGAACCTTTGTTCCTCATGCTTGGTTCATAATGTTTCTGTTTGAATTATTTTTCGTACACGTACTAAGGTATGAAACCGTCCACTGGAGGTATGAAAATATACAATGATTGATAAAATACAGTAGCATGAACTCAACTGTTCATTGATCCCTTATTTTGAAAATTTTTACCGCATTTAAATAGAAACGGGTTGACAGCTATAGGATCAAACACGGTGATGTGTAGAAATCTCGGAATTCTGATTCGTTATGAGATTTGGGATCCATTCTGATGCTTTCGAATTGATAGAAACATTGATTGCACTCAATGATTCCCTTTCCATTTTTCCCATCTACAATGTCAGAAGCAAAAATGTTTCGCAAATTTTCATTGATGGCATGGAATTACTCATTATACATACTGTAATCACAGATGGTGGCAGCAGACTGGTTGTCCAAATGTGCTAATCTGCGTCAATTATTTCAGGAGTCGCCACCAAGAAGCGGGCATGTGGTAGTCAATGACGTGGCTATTATCGACAAATTCTTGATTCCATCTGATCCGTATAAATTGTTGTACACATTGGAGGTGAGTCTTCTAACGTCGCAGTAGCCTTTATCATCCAAGTTCGTGTGAATTTTCAGTAATGCGACATGTCGCTCAATGTTGGGTGTAATCCGATTGGTGATAGCGTTTTTCAATTGTTTTGATATAATTCAAGGTGCTTTCTGGTTTGTTGGTACCAACGTGCGCAAGCAAGATCACCGTTGCCACATCCAATCGACTTGCTCGTGCTCTTCTTCATTCCAATGTTTACAAACATTTACTGAAACTTTTCGCTCTACCACACATGATCGCTCCCATCACACCTTCTGGAACGTACTCGGATATTTGAGCTTCTCACCTTGATTTTTAGGTGAGTTTTTATGTTTCAATGACCTCTTCGTAAGTTAATACATTTTGTTGTTCTTATAAGAGGAATAATGTGCAGAATTTTGATATTATATAGGGAACAAGAGCTCGGCTGTGTTGCCAGGGTCGAAACTTCTTTTGGAAAATTTCTAGCTTTTTTCTTTCAAAATAAGTTGTTACTGCAGCGCATGTGATCCTTAGATCGGGATATGATGCATACGTTTCCCAATGTACATTGGGTGATGATATTATAGGATTGTTGTGGAGGCAAAGAATTTCTTTTAACATCAGACAATTCAGTGTTTTACTTCTTGGACAGTCAGTCTTATCGAATGCAATAACCCATGAGGAACAGTGTTTGTCTGATCTGCAGAATTATAAGAAATCGGAACGCAGGAAAGATCCCCTTTACGAAGATTTGTCAACTCTTGCCATTGACGGGTAATCTGTATTACGATTGTTTTTTCGATTTCTTTTATAGCTATGGTATTTTCAGTTCCTCTGCTGTCACGAACTTCAGCTGTGACGAATTCCTCAGTTTGATTACCGTACTTCGCGATGCTGTGTGGCGTAGCGCGGCTGGATGGTTGTTGTATTCGCTTCGACTTCCTATTTACCCTAATTACTTCGGTATTATACCAAAGTACGTTATTTTCCTCAAAAGTACAGGCACAAGAACTGTGTGGATGGACATGGTAAAGTTCTAAATAGGGACACGTTCTTGAATCTCAACTAATTTTTTCCTACTAGCTGTGTAAGTCAAGCAGCGTTTAGGATAGTGAACAAATGACTTGCCTCTGTAAATTACTCTTTCAAATGCTCCAGTCGTTTTTCAGAGGATGTGAAATATCGAACGACCCTCAAACGCCAGAGAAGATATGGGTCGAACTTCCTATCTACAAAGTTCCAGACGCTCCATCCGCATCTCAGTCCATCCGAGCATCCCATGCCCAAGGTATTCATACTTATTGTGTAATCTTTCGGGTTTTGGGTGATAGATTTTCTGCCTATTGCCTTTCAATAGACTCAATGAGATTAATTTGAGCGCTTGACGATCGCAGTGAGGCCTTGACGAACGATATACTCGTTCTGATGGCTCGATGTATAGCAAGTCGTTTGAATTCATCCGGGGTATGTGAATCACGTTAGAACTTCAGAATTCAGTACTGCAAATATTTTGTTCAGGTGGATCAGGCAACAAAAGATCATCTACTGAAGTTTTACACGACTGAATCGTGGCGCGAGTTCTGGATGGATATTCTTTTGAACACAGTGACTATCCGTGTATGTGGATCCATGAGAATTTGCATTACTTTCAATTGCTAGACGGACGGATTTTTCTTTTTAGCTTCGACGCCATGCAAGAGACGCACTCATGAATATAGCGCGTTGCCTATCGCTCGAAGGCAGTCTCTGTCCAATTTTGCTGATGCTTCTCGAAACCGTGGAGAGTGCACCTTTCAGTAAAGACCGTACTAGAAAAAGCAGTAAGTTTGCTCTGCTGCTACGTTGTTGGACTTCAGTGCTTATAAGTGGTCAGTTGATTTTCGAGTTGTACTAAAAAATTTTTTCACATCAGATGAGCTGGGACGTCGTCAACTTGTCAATAGTCTTGAAATGTATCTATGCTTGGCTGCTATTCTGGATTATAATCGTATGAACACTGAGGAGGATATTCTAATTGTGTGGCGTATGGTCAAACGGGATCCAATGCAGGTTCGTGTCCTGTGAATATTGATTTTCTAGCATGTGCAAGTGTGAAGGCGCTCATCTTCATCTCTTATTCTCGAAGCCTTGCTACTGAGAATCACTTTTGTTCTGAAATACTTGAAGTGGGTGATTTACTTATTTGTCCGTATCTCAGATCGCTTGGGAGATTTTCAATTTTTTGACCGCTACGAGTTCCTGCTCCACCCATGATATTGATGCGGACTTCATATATGCGAAGCTGCGTGTAAGTGATATGTAGCTTCTGAACTGGGCGGAGTTTTTATTTTGGATATCGATTCTCTCTTTTCTTCAGATAGAAAGTTAGAAATTGTCCCGCTTCAGCTTGTATACTGTTTTCAGGTTGCTGAAGCAGTCCTTGCGGTACGTAGTTCCGATTCTGTAAGAGTTGGTGAAAAATTCATAGTTCCGGTACTTTCCCGTTGCGTTTTCGCGCAGGTTATGGAAGGGTCCTCCAAGTGAGTATTTGAAACGAATATTGGTAGCGATTCGATTTCCTCTATTATTCTTCCTCTGTTTAATGTTTCATTCTTCTGTCTGAAAAAGCTTCATTTTACAGCAGTTTCTGGGAAGGAAAGAACTCGATGCTTGCTTTGGAAGTCTTATCTGATTTAACTGCCTCCTGTCCGCGTAATGCTGTTCGATTGATCGAATGGCTTCAAAATTATTTCGGGACGCTACGGGAACTGGAGTGGGAATATAGGGTTAGCCAATATAACGGAGATTTGTTGTAGTCTTGCTTCTATTAAAATTGTGCTTTTGAAGCCTGTGTTGGAATCTCGCGTTCTGGATCACGTCGGCCTTCAGAATGGTGGTGGCACTTGTTACATGAACAGCGTGCTGCAACAACTGTTTGCCATTCCTGGCCTTGCCAACCATCTTCTTTCAGTCGAGGTCTCAAATGAACCCGACAACGAAAACAAGTGAGTGTGGGTGTTTAGCAGGAAGTGTTCGAAACTGATCACCACTTTTTAAGTGTTTGGAAAATTCACTACCGATTTTCAGTCAGTTGCTGCTAGCTCTTCAATCGGTGTTTGCTCGACTGATGATGGCTCGATCTCGCCTCTATGTTCCTCGCGAAATGTGGGAAAACTTTCGGTTCTTCTGGAGCTGACAGATTGGACACCCGCCAACAACACGATGCAGTCGATTTTTTCACTGAGTTGATTGATCGAGTGGATTCGGCCTTAGAAGTATTTTCATTCAAGATTTTTTTAACCTTTTTTTCTTATGTTAGAGGAAATTTGTAGAGGGTCATGTTTTAGGCGAAAGAAGACCCTTTGTATTCCGACCTGCGGAATGGCGGAAAACGTTCAGGTATGAGAAAGGAAATCATTTGTTATGGCTGCTTTCTGGTGACTGAATTGATTTTTATCCTGGACAATTTTGTTTGTTCTTTTTGCTCACGTTTATATTGGCATGTAGAACGACTTTCGCCCTTCAGCCACGTCGGAGTAGACGAGGAATTCTTAGCGGTTAATCTTGAGCTCCATGGTCCATCGTTGGAGGAATGCCTTGAGCATTATGTGAATGGCGAGTTATTGGAAGGAGATAATGCATATTTTTGTAGTAAATGTGAGGAGAAGGTATGTGCGTTTTGAAAGAAAGACAGAGAAGGGCCGCCTAATTCTTCTTTAGAGGAATACTCTACGACGAGGATCGTTTTGCGAATTGCCAAGTACGCTAGCAATTCAGCTTAAGAGATTCTCATACGACATCAATGGTCGTGTAGATAAAAAGAATGACTTCTGCTCTGTAGGTTGATTTCCTCTTTCTTTATAATACGGACTCGAACGTAGCCGTGTATGATACAGTCATGCTCCTTGATATGACATCATATTGTACGCAAGCGCGAGCTGTGTGCGACCAAGATCTGAAGTCTCTTTTTGATGATGTGAGTGCATTATTATAAACCTTCCGTAGTCACTGACCGTTTCCATGCTTATGGTTAAGGTAGTTAGAAATATGAGAGTGCGAAGCTGTTTATACGTATTGATGTAATGCGAATGCCGAAATGAAAGGCGTGTATTTTGCGGAGAGGATAGGTGTTTTGGACTCGCCTGCTTACCCATTGGAATTTGCAGATTTACTGTTACCACTGCCGAGAAACTCTCATTTGACACAATTTGCTCTCGGTGGCCCCTGACAGCCGTGTGGTGTCAGGCGACATCAAAAAAGCTGACTTTTTCGAAAGGACTCGTTCTTGGATAAAAAAATTGATTGTTGGAGTTCCGCTTTGACCGCTTTTGCTCCGAGCCAAAAGTATTAGGTTGTCTCATAAATAGTGTCGCTTTTTTTCAACCAAAAAATTTTCATCTAAATCCCCATGCTTTTATACAGCGAGTCATATACCATTCGAAAGAGAATTGTCTGCTCTACAAGACGTTGTGTTCTTCTTCCATCTATGTTCCATGGTTTTCAAATTTTAGGCCTGCGAAATGGGAGGTCCCGCCGACAAAAATTCACCAAACCGACAACTAGCTAACTTTATCTTCCCTTGAGAGAAATCAATCAATACTGTACCCTCTACTTATGCATGACCTCTTCTAAACATTACACTATTAGGTTTCCCAACAAGTCGCGTCATTCCATTTCCAGACCTGGTTTTTCAACCAGAACTCGACGGTCAAGCACCATTACCTGAGATCGAGGTCGAAATTTTTTTATAGCCGGTACATTGAAAAACTAGTACAGTTTAAAGAACAAGTCATGACTAAGTTAGGAATGCACGCCTGGTTGATTTTTCATCTTCTCAAGGATAATTTTTTCAAAGAAATGCGGTCACTTTCGTGGATAAAGCACCTTACTCCTAAACACCTAAATTCGAGCTAATTCCTAACAAACATAAAACAAAACAAATGAGCGAATAGAGCAGAAGAAGTGCTCACAAAAGATACACCAGTTGATATAAAACAATAGCGTTTCAGAGGAAGAATTTCAATTTGAAAATTGCCATGGCTTATCGGTCGGCCAATTCGAAAAGAAACAGGGCAAACCTTTTTCGGCAACCTAAGGGTGGAATGTTCAGAAGAGGTCATGAGTAAGTAGAGGGTACATCATTGATTGATTTCTCAGGGAAAATAAAGTTAGAGCTAGTTGTCGGTTTGGTCAATTTTTGTCGGCGGGACCTCCCATTTCGCAGGCCTAAAATTTGAAAACCATGGAACATAGATGGAAGAAGAACACATCTTGTAGAGCAGACAATTCTCTTTCGAATGGTATATGACTCGATGTAAAAGCATGGGGATTTAGATGAAAAATTTTTGGTTGAAAAAAGAAGCGACACTAATTATGAGACCACCGAATATAATTCTACTCGGAACACCATTCCGCTTTTTGCAGCTTTATTTATTTATTATATATTTATTTATTTAATGGTCAATCACAGACAAGGTATAGCTAATGTTTTTGAATTTGATCAGTTTTCATTCCTGCCTCACTTCTTATCGCCCTACCACTTTTATGACTTAACAGTTTTCTATTATATGTGTCAGATATTTACATGTGGAGCCAACAAACACAGAAACAAGATAAAGTAATGACTTCAACGGAAGCACGGATTGAAAATCTGATATACTTGCTCGCCGCGCAGCACGCCCTGGTAGGCATAAGTAGACCCAGCTCGCCGCGGAAAAAGTAAGCGGTCAGCGATGTATTACATCAAGTCGATAGGAGCTAGCTTTATTTTAAATACGCAGCTTGTGGTGTTTTCCCGACAGCACTTTGAAAGAGTTGGTTTCAAGGGATAGTTACTATATGAAGCCTCAGTATATTCAGAATTGGTTCTTTTAGAATGCGCCCAGCTCTGCGGCTAGCGAAAACTTGGTCTACCTCAATTTTTTTCTTTGTGGTGACACAGGAATAATCGCTCTTATCCTTTTAAGGTCTACAGTAGTGGACAGGAAGACAGCGCAGGCATTATTGAGGACCAGGATGTTAAACCTCAAGGTGCTGTTGAGGCTTAACTTCAGTATACTCTTCTGAACTGCTGCTTTTGATGGTTTCCTTTTCAGAAGTTCATCACAGTCCAACCTCTCCTAGCAGATGGGGAAGAAAGAGACGAAAAACATCTTCATTGCCAAGCTTGGTAAGTTGCGAAGACATATTTATTTCATTGAGAGCTTTTTTGTTTCCCTGATGTTGTTCGAATAATTCTTTTCAGAACGGTGTCGAAAGCTATCAGTACGAACTTGTGGGTGTAGTGGTGCATTCAGGTGGAGCACGAGCAGGGCACTACGTTTCTTACGTGAAAGAGCGCAGGTTGGGAACACATTCGAGCCATTTTTCATTGTACTGTTTTCCATGCTTATCTCTCCTTTCTCGATTTAAAATGGTTTACCTGCTTGATTAGCCCTACGAATTCCTTTTTTGTTGTGACCACGTTCCTCATATCGCAAAAAATCTACTCGTTACAGAGCAGAGATGTATAACACCCTCACCCATGGAAAATGGGTAGAGCTGAATGATGCGGATGTTCGTATATTCCCTGCGACACCTGATGCAATAGAAACAGAGTGGTTTGGCGGATCATTCACTGCTTCACGTTAGTTGTTGACGTGTTTTATTTGATTT